ATACACTTGTTAAATATGTAATTTATTTATAAGTTATATGTAAATAAACATATTTACATATTCACCAGCTATTTATCATATACATCTCACATATGTGTGTGTATAAATAGAAATATAAAAGATATCATAGAAGATGGTAGAGTATGAAGCATCAGGAATGGTTCTCTCTATTGAGACAATGATTGCACTGGCAACAACGGTCTGAATCACTGTTTTGAAACACTGGAGTCTACTCAAATATTTGTAGTGCCTAGCAAGAGGTCACCAAAAGGCTAGTAATTTTTGTAAAGTTTAATAAAAATATTATAATAAAAATACAAAAAAAGTAGAAAAAATAGCAATTTATAGAAGGAAAAAAAAGAGAATTTAAAAGAAACTATCCCACAAGGGACACCGTAATTACCAGTCAAACACATTAAACCAACTGTCTTCACTACAGTTAGTGAATTAAACAAACCAGAACAGTAACTCAGGAAACTGATTTCAGATCAAAACCATATCAATAGAAAGATAAAAATTACACAAAAAGGAGGCCAAACAAAATCTAGAGCTGAAATGTTGGCAGTTCAAGCCCCGTAGCCACTGCATAACCTCTGAATTATGGCGCTGGCAAAGAATACTGGAAGTACCATGGACTTTCAAAAGAATAACCAAATCTGTCTTGGAAGCAGTTTACCAAAAATGCCAGGATGGTGAGATTTCTCACATACTGTTGGGAATGTTATCAGGCAAGGAAAAGGGCATCATGCTTAATAAACTAGAAGTTCTTGAAAAAGAAGAAACCTTCAAGTGGCTGCCAACAAAGGGTTCAAACATTAACAATTCTGAGCTCAAATAGCTCATGATCAGGCAGTGTTTTGTTCTATTGTACATAGAATTGCTGTGAGTTGGAACCCACTTGATGGCACCCAAAACGTGCTTCGTAAAACAAGAATCACTATGCCTGTCGAAGTAAAAAAACACCAGAAAGCAATAGCTTTGTACCATCGTCTTTCCTGATCCTCGGGGTCCAATAATGAGAACTGAGTTACTTTCTCCATGGATAGCAGTTCTTTTGAGCAACTCAATTAAGTGTCTGAAACGATATAAGTAAACCAAAATTTGAAAAGGTAAGCTGGGCTAGTTAGCTACAAGGAGCATTTTTTTAATTGTTTTTAAACAGAATTTTTTTGGGGGGCTCTTACAGCTTTTATCACGATCCATCCATCCATCCATCCATCCATCCATTGTGTCAGGAACTTTTGTACATATGTTGCCATCATCATTTTAAAAATAATTTCTTTCTACTTGAGCCCTTGGTATCAGGTCATTTTTCTCCTCCCTTATAAACCCTTGTTAAATTATACATTATTATTATTTGCATATCTTACATTGTATGCTATCTCCCTTCACCCACTTTTCTGTTGTTCATCCCTGAGGGAAGATTTTATGTTGATCATTGTGATCGGTTCTCCCTTTCTCCCCCCAATTTCCCCTAGGCTCCTGGTATTGCTACTCCCATTTCCTGAGAGGTTTATCTGTCTTGGATTTTTCTGTATTGCCAGCTCTTATCTGTACCAGTGTACATGCTCTGGTCTGGCTGGATTTGTAAGGTAGAATTGGGGTCACGATAGTGGGGGGGCCTCCCATTAAAGAAACCAGAGGAAAGTTGTATGTTTTGTCGGTGCTATACTGCACCCTGATGGACTCATCCCTTCCTTGTGACCTTTCTGTAAGGGGTGTCCAATTGTCTACAGTGGGCTTTGGGTCTCCACTCTGCCTCCCGCCTCCCCTCAAATTGATATGATTCTTTGTTCTGGGTCTTTGATGCCTGTATTTAGATCTCAATAAATGTCCTTTGCGTCCTATTTCTTCCCTCCAGTTGTAAAGGTGAACTGGAATATGCTCAGAAACCAGGCACTTCTCTCTACTCCCTCTTGGGATAGGACCATACAGAAGTTTAAGAGACAAAATGGAAATCCAGTGCTATTTTTCTGGAAATCTCAGATAAACCTAAGATTTTCTTAGTCTCCATGATGATAACGAAACAAAAGTAACAACACTTAGGACCCTCAAGTACAGAATCCCCTCTCCTATATTATAAACTCCTGGCCTTTTACTTTCCAAAGTTAATGGCTTATATTAGGGCAAAAGGTCCAGAATTCTCTTTACAGTATCAGATAATAGAAACAATAGAAAATTGAAAGTTAAAAAAGTGTTCTCATTATCCAGATGTATCTGCTCTTGCTACATGATAGTTAATACCTCCACATGCAAAACAAAAATTCCTGTCTTAAAAAAAAAACGTCAGTTGGGCCTCCACTCAAGTACTCCCTCAACGCAAGAATACTTTCTTCTGTTAAATTGGCATTCTATGATGCTCACCTTCCCGACACAAGCGCTGAAAACAAAGCGGGTGAATAAGCAAATGTGGTGAAGAAAGCTGATGGTGCTTTTGATGCTATCAAAAGATATAGCGTCTGGGGTCTTAAAAGCTTGAAGGTAAACAAGCGGCCATCTTGCTCAGAAGCAACAAAGCCCACATGGAACAACATATCAACCTGTGTGATCACGAGGTGTCGAACGGATCACTGAAGACAAATGGGTGCATAAGCAAATGTGGCGAAGAAAGCTGATGGTGCCCGGCTATCAAAAAGTATAGGGTCTCGGGTCTTAAAGGCTTGAAGGTAATCAAGCGGCCATCAAGCTCAGAAGCAACAAAGCCCACATGGAAGAAGCACACCAGCCTATGCAACCATGAGGTGTCGAAGGGATCAGGTATAAGGCATCATCAGAACAAAAAATCTTACCATAGTGAATGATGGGGGGAGTGCGGAGTGGAGATCCAAAGCCCATTAGTAGGCCACTGGAGATCCCCTTGCAGAGGGGTTTCGGGGAGGAGATGAGCCAGTCAGGGTGCGATGTAACAACGATGAGAAATACAACTTTCCTCTAATTCCTAAATGTTTCCTCCCAGCTCCCACTACTATGACTTGAATTCGACCTTGCAAGTCTGGCTAGACCAGAGGATGTACACTGGTACAGATAGGAACTGAAAATCCAGGGAATCCAGGGCAGATGAGCCCTACAGGACCAGTGGTGTGAGTGGTGAAACAGGGAGGGTAAAGGGAGAATGGGTAGGAGAGAGAGAACCGATTACATGGAACTGTGTGTGACCTCCTCCCTGGGGGACGGACAACCGAAAAGTGGGTGAAGGGAGACGTCGGACAGGGCAAGATATGACAAAATACCAATTTATAAACTATCAAGGGCTCATGAGGGAGGGGGGAGCGGGGAGGGAGGGGGAAAATGAGGACCTAATGTCGGGGGTTTAAGTGGAGAGAAAATGTTTTGAGAATGATGTACAAATGCACTTTACACAATTGATGTGTGTATGGATTGCGATAACAGTTGTATGAGCCCCTAATAAAATGTTTTTAAAAAAAAAGTCAGATCTAGGATTAAATTTATAAATGACAAATTTCTAAAACCTGGGCAGCTTCTAGAAGTAGGTTCATAAAAACAAGAGGGTAGCAAGACTTACTTGTATTGTAATTGTACTCCAAATAGGTTACTATGAGAACTCTGATGACAAAATCTTTCACGTAAAATTCTTTGTACCTGAGGATAATAAAGTGAATAAATAAGTGACAAAAAGTGAAGACATTACATATGTAATAAAAAACCAATGAGAACGTACATTTTCACCAGATTGGGTACTAATGAATCAACTCAACTATTCCTAAATATTTGTTCTGAAAAGTTCTGGCACCACTACAAAAAGTTTTAAAATGAAAGATTCTCTTTAAGCAATATCAAATCCCAGAGAAAGGGTAATAATTTAGAGCTGAAAATAAAACCAAGTTAGGAAAAAATCTATTTCCTTGAACGCCCTTATGTGATAATAAACCTTAAGATCAATAAAAATATACACTAACCTGTGAAAGGCATTCTGCATGTATTAAGTTGCTATTCTTTGACTTACGACTGTTCATTTCAACAAATTCAGATCCTTTAAAAATAAAAAAGTGAAAAAAGTGGCTTAATAGCTACTCTTGAAGAATTAGATACTATTATAGAATCAAAATAAATAACAGTATTCAATAATGAAAAATACTCATATTTCTGAAACTTTTAAATCTTCAGTGATTTCTATAAGTACTGGCTTATTTGACACTCCAGAGCATACTTTATAAGGTTCTTTCAGATAAACCACGATTCTTTTAATCAACTTATTCTCTCCTACACTATCTTGTCATGGAATAAGTACAACATAATTCCCCTTTTAAGATTAGCAGGCACAGAATGGTTATGTAACTTGATAAAAGTCAAACAAGAACTAAGCAAATTTTTTTCTTAACGAAATGTTTATTCCACTGTTTTGTTGTTTTTTTAATGCATTGAATGATCGTGTTGGTGAACAATATTGAGTATGTCATGGCTGACAGAAAAATGAATACACTTGTCTTTGAAGGTGTACAACCAAAGTGTTCCTTAAAAGTGAGGATGATGAGACTTCAGTTCACATGCTGTGACCAGGAGGAACCAGGCCCTGGAGAATGAATCATGTTTGGTCAAGTAGAGTCAGTGTGAGAGAAGTTCTTCCATGGAAAGGATTGACGAGGAGGCTGCAACAATGGCCTCAATCACAGTGATGCTTGTGAGGATGGTGCAGGCCTGCGGAATGCTTTGTTCTGTTGTACATAGGCATGGATTCCAGCACACCTAATGGCAACAACAAGCCTCCTTCTGTGCTTCTTAAAAGTATCCTTCTGTGCTGAAAATGACAGTTTAATCCCTAGCCAGTACATTGCATCCCTCAGTCAGTGGTGGCTTGAGCATTGTTGGACACTGACCTCAGCTCCTCTTGGTGGTACATGTGAGGAGGTGGAAGGTGGAAGTTGCAGGTCCACTGTTTTAAACAGGAATTTTTTACAAATTTCACCAACTTGAAGGCAGATCAGTCACTAGTTTTAACATAGCAAGCAAATCTGTCTCTCCACTTACTGTATAAGGCAAGTATCTATGGTTGAACGTCTAAGAGCTTTAGGCTCCCAGTTCCCAATTTGGAAATTTAAGGACAGAGTAGTAAACTGATAATTGATCTCATCCCTTAAAAACCAGCATGTTGCAGTAAAAATTTCAACTCACGTCACTTCTTTCACCAGTTGCCTCCACCTCCATCTAGATTACTAATGTTTCTTAATTCTAAATTTTTAATAGCTTCTTTACTGGTCTCCAAATCTTGACCCTACTCATAATATCATTTCCAATTAAAGAAAAGACCCTATTCATAATATCATTTCCAATTAAAGAAAAATTCTTTAATTCTATTTCCAGTTCCCCAAATTTCAAATTTATTAACATAATTTAAAAGGCTCTAAATTATTAGTTCCAAGTTTAACTCACTATATCCTTCTATTAATATTTTCTCTAGAACAATCAACACTATGTTCCAACTGACTCCAGCATCAGGTCTGAAATGAGTATTCCTCTGGGATACTTTCATTGACAACCTTTTAATCCCCACTCTGAGAAAGTCAGAGCCTTCTGAATTCCTTATGCATTTTCAGGATATGTGGAATGCTCTTTTTATAGAACTTAATAGTACCAAATTATATATTATTTGTTTACTGGTCTTTAGTTTACAGACTCCTTAAAGGAAGAGATCAAGAATTATACTGTCAAATTCCAGTATTGACACACATTTGTTTTTTAAAAATCATTTTATTAGGGGCTCATACAACTCTTATCACAATCCATACATACATCAATTGTGTAAAGTGTATTTGTACATTCATTGCCCTCATCATTCTCAAAACATTTCCTCTCCCACTAAGCCCCCGGCATTAGGTCCTCATTTTTCCTCTACCTCCCCGCTGCCCCCTCCCTCATGAGCCCTTGATAACTTATAAATTATTATTTTGTCATATCTTGCCCTGTCTGACGTCTCCCTTCACCCACTTTTCTGTTGTCCGTCCCCCAGGGAGGAGGTCACATATAGTTCCTTGTAATCGGTTCCCTCCTTCCTACCCACTCTCCCTCTACCATCCCAGTATCGCCACTCACACCACTGGTCCTGTAGGGATCATCCGCCCTGGATTCCCTGTATTTCCAGTTCCTATCTGTACCAGTGTACATCCTCTGGTCTAGCCAGACTTGCAAGGTAGAATCCGTGTCATGATAGTGGGAGTGGGGAGGAAACATTTAGGAACTAGAGGAAAGTTGTATTTTTCAGCGTTGCTACATTGCCCCCTGACTGGCTGGTCTCCTCCCCGAAACCCCTCTGCAAGGGGATCTCCAGTGGCCTACTAATGGGCTTTGGGTCTCCACTCCGCACTCCCTCCATCATTCACTATGTTAAGAATTTTTGTTCTGATGATGCCTTATTCCTGATCCCTTCGACACCTCATGGTTGCATAGGCTGGTGTGCTTCTTCCATGTGGGCTCTGTTGCTTCTGAGCTAGATGGCCACCTGATTACCTTCCAGCCTTTAAGAGCCCAGACGCTATACTTTTTGATAGCCGGGCACCATCAGCTTTCTTATGCACCCATTTGTCTTCAGTGATCCGTTCTACACCTCATGATCACACAGGCTGATATGTTCTTCCATGTGGGCTTTGTTGCTTCTCAGCTAGATGACCGCTTGTTTACCTTCAAGCTTTTAAGACCCCAGATGCTATATCTTTTGATAACCAGGCACCATCAGCTTTCTTCACCACATTGCTACCAGGGAAGATGGTCTAAAGTTACAAAGGCTGAAAAGCAGACAGGACTATTGAGTAATAAAAATAATTAAGTTTGAACAATTATATGCAATGACTAAAAAGGAAAACAAAACCCTACCAACTATCAAAGAATGATACAGAAATATATAGAGTACACCACAGGTTGCTATGACAAAAGATAAAGTACATAATAATAAGGAACTCTAATAGCGGAGGATTACAAGTTGGGCTGCTAACCAAAAGGTCAGCAGTTTGAAACCACCAGCCAGTTCTGCGGGGGAAAGATGTGGGTTTAACTCTCATCAAAAGTTGTAGTCTCACAATGCGGGAATTGTGCCTGATGTGACCTCACCACACCAAAGCGAAACACTAAGGTCATGCAACAGAACAGCAAGGGGAGCAGAGCAAAAAAGTCCCCAGGGAATACTAAAAAAGACTTTGGGTCTAGGGAATGGCACCCTATCAGACTCAACCAGAAAACACTTCTATATGTCAACCAACCTTGAATATTTATTGTATTTCTTTTTTTGGTCCTTTTTGTTGTTGTTTTTTCTTTTGTTGCTTTGTTTTGCTCTATTTGTTTTAGTGCATATTATTATCTCTGCAGATCTATCTAGATAAGAAAGGCAGTATAAACAATCTGGAGGAGAAAACAAAGGGACCAAAGTTTGGGGGGCTGCGGGACGGACTTAAATGGGAGAGGGGGAAAGGAAGTGGTGCTAACAAACCCAGGCACAAGGGAACAACAAGTGATCCAAAATCTATGGTAAGGAGGGGGTATAGCAAGCCTGGTAGGGTTTGATCAAGGGCAATGTAACCAAGAGGCATTACTGAAACCCAAGTAATGGCTGAACATGATAGTGAGACAAGAGGAAAGTAAAAGGAAATAGAGAAAAGAACTAGGAGGCAAAGAGCATTTATAGAGGTCTAAATACAGATATGCACATATGTCAATGTATTTATATATGACAATGGGGAAATAGATCTATGTGCATATATTTATAGGTTTAGTATTAAGGTAGCAGATGGTCAATGGGCCTCTACTCAAGTACTCCCTCAATGCAAGAACACTTTGTTCTATTAAACTGTCATTCCATGATACCTTCCCGACAAGACCACCAAAGAAGACAAAGTGGATGCGTAAGCAAATGTAGTGAAGAAAACTGATGGTGCCTGGCTATCAAAAGATAAAGCATCTGGGGTCTTAAAGGTTTAAAGATAAACAAGCAGCCACCTAGCTGAGAAGCAACAAAGCTCACATGGAAGGAGCACACCAGCCTGTGTGACCATAAGGTGTCTATAAGATCATGTATCAGGCATCAAAGACCCAGAACAAAAAAATCATATAATTGTGAATGAGGGGGTGTGTGGAGTGGAGACCCAAAGCCCATCTGTAGGCAACTGGACATCCCCTTATAAAAGGGTCGCAGGGAGGAGATGAGCCAGTCAGGGTACAGTACAGCACTGATGAAACATACAATTTTCCTCTAGTTCTTTATTGCTTCCTTCACCGCAACTATCATGATCCCAATTCTACCTTGCAAATATGGCTAGATTAGAGCATGTACATGGGTACAAACAAGAGCTGGAAACATAGGGAATCCCGGACAGATAAAACATTCAGAATCAATATTGAGAGTAGCCATACCAGGAGGGGAAAGGGAAGGTGGGGGAAATGGGGAACCAATCACAATGATCTACCTATAACCCTGCCCAAGGGGGATGGACAACAGAAAAGTGGGTGAAGAGCGACATCGGTCAGTCTAAGACATGAAAAAAAATTTTTTATAAATTATGAAGGGTTCATGAGGGAGGGAGAGGAAAAATGAGGAGCTGATACCAAGGGCTGAAGTAGAAAAAAAATATTTTGAAAATGATCATGGCAACAAATGCACAACTCTGCTTGACACAATGGATGGATGTATGGATTGTGATAAGAGTTGTATGAGCCCCCAATAAAATGATTTTTAAAAAGGGGGTTATAGTCTCTGAAAATCAAAGGGGCAGCTATAACCTGTGCAGGAGTTGGAATCAAATCGATAACAGTGAATTTGGTTTTATATTTTTGCAATCCTGGATTGACAATTCCTGCTAAATATGAAAATATGCATTAGCAATACATCTCCTACTTAGTTAATATTTTATTTAAACAATCTTTAATTACAAGTGCCAAAACTGAAGACATTAATTACATTTATCAAAAATCTATGCTTTTATTTTATTAACATATACAAATACTCTAATTCTCTTTATCTTGACATAAATTTGTCCCAATGTAGAATAT